TGATGATCTCTTCTTAAAGTCTCCATATTTGCCAAAAAAAAATTTTTGTCAAGATTTTGATAACCATTTTTTAGTCATGTTTTATTTTAGATAAAATTGTAATATGGACTTTATGATTTGTTTTTGTAGCTGTAAACATGGCTTGGTAGGTGAATGCGGTAAAATAATTTTTGAAGGCTAAACATATACTATAATATTAAATTGGATGTTTTGAGAAAACCCTATAATCATGTTATATCCACTAATTTTTTATGAAAAAACCATTTTATACTGTCATACTATTATCAAACAATTGCTTGTGTATACCAAGTCAATTTTCTTTTTAAAAGGGAAAAAATCATTATGCCTTCAAGGTATTTATAAAATTGAGAGAAAGACTGTCATGCATGAGTTTTTTTTTTAATACTGATATGCCTTAACTCATGTTTGTAGTTATTTCGAATCTTCAATTACCTAAGACCTTGAACTATATGAAATGTTGTTGGAAGACTATCTTACTATGCTTCCTTGACATATGTTATATTGATAAGATAACTTGGTTTGTATGGATTTATTACCAAGATGACTAGTGTAGTTGAACCTTTGTCGTTTATAAAGGTTTTATATATTGTGAAACCAATGGGCATTGAATTACGTATTGCATGAGTCTTGCTATGCTATCTCATGATATAGACATAAGAATATTGAGAATGTATATATTGTATGTGCAATAATTGAGTGGGAGCTGCTACAGTCCCACGTTTTTTTTTTTAGCTGCTTGGATATTCAGATATAGATGCAAGCTATCTCAAGGATTCAGATGATGTGAAATTTACATCTGGATACGTATTCATGCTTGAAGGGAGAATAACTTCTTGAAAGTCAAAGAAATAAGATGCGGTGACATTATCCATCCTAGAGGTAGAATACGTGGTGTGCTATTTGACGGCCAAGGAGGCCGTATGGATTAATAAATTTCTTAATTGACTTGACTTTCAACCTATGCATTGTGAGGCAGTGATAATTTTCTACGACAACATAGCGACGATATGCATGTAAAAAAGAGCCACGATTCCATAATAACTCTAAAGTGTATAAAACTAAATATTCCAGTGGGAGCAGCTAGTGTTTGACAGGCCAGCTGGAACAACATACTATAGTGTTGTTCACCCATGGAACCCATATGTGTGGCGCTGGTTGTATAGCTATAAAAAAAATGGCTTGTTTGAAGAACTCCACTAAGCCAATGAAGATACGATCCCATGCGATAAGGATACATAATGATTTTCTGTAACAGTAGGTCCATGATTCGTGATGCTATATGAAAGATGGACTACGGCCACTTTTGGGATGAGATCCGAGCAGCAAAGAGAAAAAGGCGTTGCCTCTATGAGTCCTTTTGTAAAAAAATTGATGGCGAAAGCCATCATTAATGTATTGAGAGAGATTGTTATTGGGAGAGACATATGAGGACGAGGGAAAGTGAGGAAGAGAGAATATAAGGCATTCAAATGCCAAGTGGGAGATGTTGGGTTTATGTGGCCTTTAAATGCCTTATGAGAGCTTGTATGAACATTTTATATAGTGGAACATAAACTCAGTGGGAGTGTGGTCCTTTTGTGGACAATACTAGGCAAATGTTCTTTAATGATATTCGGACTAGGCTCGACGAGCCAGTCCAGTCCAGGTTTGAAAAAACCCAAGATACCTGGGTATAGGGATCTACCGAGAAGGGTTTAATGGGTTATCCCTTGATGAGGTCGAAGTATGCCTAGATGAGAGTCAAGAAACTGTGTGGCCCTTGTGTGTGATGAATAGCTTTTAGAAACATGGCTAAAACCTCATTGTTATATCATCACATGACATGTACATAGATAGTCATTTTGAGATTCACCAATAAGCGTGAAGCGTGTATATGTGCGAGAGATTACCCCTATGCACGATAGAGTTATGGTTTCATCATGGTTTGGAGGACCATGATTTTTGTCTCTAGGGGAGAACCTGAAGTTCATAAACTGTGGTTGTGTCTCCTAGTCTATTGGCTGACTTAGGTGGTCCAATCATGAACCCCTGCAGTGGACTGTAAGTCATGGGAACTGTTGGGTCAGTTTGAGAAAGCTAGACGGATCGTGATTCGCAGTTGAAGGTAGAGTGCTCTCATGTATTGATAATTTCCTACATCTAACATATCCGATTCCCATTAAAATTAATTAATTTCATGTTATGTGATTTTAAAATGTTTATTTGATTTTTTTTTAACCTTATGATATTTTATTTTTGTCACTTGGATTTATAAATTAAGATAAATTTTTTTCAATATTTTAAATAAAATATAAAATTTAAAAATTCTAAAAATGACATAAAATATTTTCTAAAAATATATGAGACCTCTATAAAATATAGGGCCCAAAGACGTGGGTTACTTGGGGCCCACATGTGGCCACCAAAAGGAGGCACGCCCCACCCATGCACGTAACATTATTGGGAATAATGTTTATCATCTTGGTTGGCTTATCTTTTTAAGTATAGTCAACTTATGTGATAAGGTTGAATATTTGAGATATTCACTAATTCTTTGAATCAAGATCGATTGATCAAATAAATAAGGATTTGATATATTAAAATATAAGCTTATTTGATATATTAAAATATACGCTTTCTTTATTTGATGGAAATAGATTTAGGAAAGGGAGAATAAAGCTCTAGCTCACCCATAAGTCTCTTTAGATCGACAGTTGAAATTTGACCCTACGAATTGAGGCAAAATTTATGGCATAGAAAATATATAAAAAAATGTGTTCCCTGTATTATCTTCTCCCTCTTTAACGATTCTCTCTTCTTACCCAAAATTCCTCTCTTTATATTCATCTCTCATCTCTCTAAAATCAAGCTAAAAGACTTGATGAAGATTAAGCCATTGAGTGGATTTTTGCCATAGTAGGGAAATCAACATACCGATCATAGATCTCGAGCACCATCGAAAAGGTGGAGACTCGGTGTGGGGTGTACTAAGCTCAGTTGAGGTAATCTCTGACAATTCTACATTTTTAAATGCTTACTTATCTTCCCATAAAGCAATAAAGTCTAATTTTGTTTCTTGAATAAAGAATTGTATTTGAAGATGTAGCAATTGAGAATCGATTTTATTTTTATTTTATTTATTTCAAGAGTGGTTCGATTATAATTGGACATTGTAAGTGATTTTGTTGGTGTAGGGATAAAGAAATTTTTTTATATCTACGCCCTGCTTTATCATAAAGTCCTTTCATCTCCCCCACGTTTCAAAACTTCTCTTTGTTGTAACTTCCATATGTACTTTATTTTCTTTCATATTTCAATAAAAGGTTTTTTTATTTAGTGAGCGGTTCAATGTATGATATAAAATGTAGCTTTCTATCTCATGTAAATTTCTTTCATATATTTGAAATCATTAATGTTATTTGTTTTAATTTTAAAGAACTTTTTTATATTTTGCGTAAAAATTATTTAATTTATATTAAAGAATGATATAATTGTAAATGCCAAAACTAGCAAAAAACATAACTATAATTAATCATAAATACAAATTATAGAGGGTACTAACATAATTGAAATTATTTTGTAAAAATAACTACCTAAAAATCAAGTTGCATCAGTAAATAAAAAATTTAAAAATCATAGTATCACTATGATTAGTTCTTGCAAAAAGAAAAAAGAAAAGAAAAGAAAAGAAAAAAACTCTTCCGATATGCTTTATTCATTTTTGTTTTTCTTCTTCTATTTCTTTCATTTTCTATCTATATTTTTTTTGGATAATTTTCAAAATTTAAAATAAAAGAAAAAGAAAAATAAAAATAAGAAAATTTTACTAAAATTTTACTATCATAAAAGGTGGAACAATAAATAATACCAACAATATGATTAGTTTTGATTGCAATAGATACATGTTTATTATAATTTTATTATATATATCATGTGACATATTTTTGTATTTTCATATTATCTAATTTTTAATAATTTTTATTTATATGTGAATAATAAATATGATTTTGTAATTAATAATACAATTAATTATATTTAAAATAAATATATAAATTATATAAAAAATATAAAAAACCAAACTACAATTAATAACAATACAAAATATATAAGTTAATAATATAGTGAAACTTATATTACTAAATGAAAAAAAAGAAAAAGACAAATTCTCTATTGTTTTTTTTTTTGGGAAAAAGTTTGTATAAGGTTGCAACCTTCTACCGTTGAACAAATGTTCATCTAAAAAATCCTACAATGGAGAGTGTTCCAATATAAGAGAACCCTCCAACTGATCATCCAGACATTGAGATGAATGGACAAGAAGAAAAAAAAGAATTTCAAGTTCAAAAAATAGTACATCTAGTAAAAAGTCTTATGGAACGTCTTTTTTCAAGATTTTCAAATTTTTATTAACCTGTTCAATCTGTACCATTTTTACAATTTTAAATTTTTTAACAGAATTTAAAAAGAGATTTTGAAACCATCATAAGATTTTCAACGCTGAAACGATATCTCTAAGTAAAATTTATAGGTGCACCTGACTTTTACAGTATAAGGATGCAACCTTATACAAACCTTACCCTTTATTTTTTTGCATATTTAGTTTTGTTAATTTATCAAAATAATTTTAACTTATAAATAAATAATATGTATTAATATAAGTTAAACTTATTTAGTGAATGATATAATTAAAATGAAAAAAAACATAATAAGGAAGTTTTGGGCTTTGATTTGGCCCATAAATATGTGAAGTACATTCAATCGGAATAAGAGAAAATATTCATAATTTTGTATTTACTGTGTTGTTTTTTAATTGTTTTTATCTGAAAACCGGTAAAATAGGTCTATTTTCTTTCTCCATAATTGAATGTCCTTTTCAAATTTTATTTTTTATTAAAATTTATTTTTGTAATTAATAATTAATAATTAATTTTACGTGCAACGCACGTGCTAATCGGACAAAGTTTTCTAAAGCTTGCAATAAAACCTCGCAAAATCAGGAGCAGAGAGCTGCATGACGTGCCGCTAGTGCAGGTGCATTTTGCAGACGTGGCAAAAACGCCGCATGTTTTAAACATGGCCATGGCCGCCGCAACAACAACGCCATTATTTTATGTCTCAGCTACTACTCAAGGAAAAACCCTACTTTCTTCATATTTTAACCCTATTAAGAAAATATCTCATCTTTCTCGCTCTAAGGCTTCTCCCGATTCAAAGACGATTGATTGTGATGGCCTGAAACTAAAACCCGTTAGGCTCAAGAGCTCCTCTCACCAAATTTGTGGAATGCCCCTTTCTCAAGGGTTTCAGGTATAATTGAAGCTTGTTTTCATGGAGAATTTGGAATTGAGGTTTGGATTAAATGTTTGGAGTTCTTTATTTGGGATGGTTCTGAGATTATGTGGTTGGTGAGTAGGTTAAAGCGATGGATGACTATGCATCGGGTGAGGGGGAGTTGGCGAAGCCGCTGATTGGGTCTTCGACAAGAAATGAGGCTTTTACTTGGTCTTCTGTGATTTTTCCGTAAGCCTTTGTGTTATTTGGGTTTTTTTGTTTTTGAGAAATGTTAGGGACAGTGTGTTTCTGTTTTTGCGTTTTTCTGGTGAATTTTGGTAATTATTGAAGAAATGAGTGGAAATAGGTTGTTTCTTAATTTAATTTATATAAGTTGAGATTTTTAGGGTATTTTTCGGGAATCTGTGTGGATAATTAAGATTACTGATGGTAGCCAGGTTTTAGTGAAAAATGCAGCTAGTTTTATTTGTGGAGATGCTTGAGTTCAAGAAGTTTCTTGTGCATTTGAACTTCATTTTTGCTGCAACTTTCTTGCTTCCTCTTCTTTAATAATTATGTGAATCTATTGTAGAATGGGAAGGTTGCTTTTTTGTGAACTAGCAAATGTGCAATTTGTGAGGAAAGATTTTCATTGAGTTTCAGTGTTGCAGTATGGGAAGGTTGCTTTTATGTGAATTATATATCTGATCATATAAATTGTTAAGAAATCAATGGTCCTGGGGTTTAAATCCTAAGGCCTATTGCCATACTGTATGATAATTAGTGAGAAACATGTCTATTGATCTTATTTCTAGGTATTGTGTGTGTGTGTGTGTGCGCTTGCGCTTGTGCGTGTGCGTGTGCGTGTGTGATATGCTACATTTCTCTATTTTCTCTTTCTCTTTTTTTATTTCCCGAATTGTTTCCAGCTTTATTTCAATTCCCATATTTTATATATTTTTTCGTCTTGTTTTGACTTTAAATGTTTGTTTTAGTTTAATTTGCTTTTCATTTTTTTCCCCTTCGTTTTTAGTTTTTAACAGTTTTTTAATATTTTTAGTTTTTGGCTCATTTTAGGGCTGGTACACTACACGGGACAGTCCACCCAGGCTCCTCTGAGTTACCGGCTTGGGCTAGGCCCGAGTCCAGACTCTGAGCCTAGGTACTGAACCTTGCTCGGAGTTTAGGGCCTTGAATGCACCTTGAAATGTTGAGTCCAATTGCCAATTGAAACCTTGTTCAACAACCTCAGATAACATATCTCTACCCGTCTATCCAAGTGATACGTACTTATCTGATTGCCATTTCTTTGTATGAACTCCCTATGTACCCTTTTATGGATTAGGAGCAACATTATCTTGTACAATGCAAATCGAAAGAGTATCTTTTACACACACACCCAAAAAAAAAAAACAAAAAAAAAGTGTGGCTTGTGCATTGCTAGAGGGTAGCTATGTCATGGCATGCCTGCCCTTGGCAAAATAAAATTGTGTTTGACCAAATCTGGGAGCAGGTCTGAAGGTTAAAGGTGCAGCTCAGCTACTTAAGTAGGGGAACTAATTTTGAAGGCGATGCTTTGGCCATGGGTGGGTTTCTACGGCATCCTTGGTCATGACGAGGATTTGAGTTTGGTAGAGTCTATTGTACAAGCGATCAATTTGTATGTTTAAAGGAATACGCCTAATTTTAAATCAATTTCGTTCAGTGAAATTAATCAAAATAGTAATCTTAATAACTAGCTCCTATATCATGCAATTCTTTGTTGGATTTACTTAAACATTGGGACCAATATCCATTGCTTTAGGTTTGTGAAAGACACAAAGGAAGACCAATGTAGTTTTTGGCTAGTTTCTCATATGCCAATCTTTTGGCTAAAATCCTATCGAGGTTCAAACGCATATGCCAAATGGTTTGGCTAGTTTCTCCATTTTGGTAACCTTTCAGCTTATGCTGAAAATAGCACTTTTATGACACTTTTACGAAGATGCTAAGATGCCATATTCCCAAGCATTTTTTAAGGATATGAATATTTGCCTAAACATCAATGTTGTAGGAACAAAACTCTAGGTTCGTTTGCTCCAATATTCTTTCTCTAAGTGCATTTTGTCTCTAACCTTGCTACTCTTTCTCTGCCTCTCTCTCTCTCTCTCAAAATGGATTGCTTTTTGAGAAAATTTTGTTTCATTAAAAGTGAAAGGTGAGCAGCCATGATTGTGAAACCAGATCAGATTAGTGTGTGATCCTCGCAAATTTGACTAAGAAATGAAGCTCTACGGCCATATGGTGTTATACATGTATGATATGCTCAACAATGTGGTTTATGGGGCCCTGATCATCGATGAGTAAAACTAAGGCTGACAAATAGCTAACAATGCTCAAGGAGTAGGAGAATGATCATCATCTTCATCATCATCAAGGCCTTTTCCCAACTACTTGGGCCCGGCTACAGGGATCCTGGTCTGCTATTCTTCCCTACCCTCAGTAAGGCCATAAGTCCCCATATCGGTTTTCACTACTTCCAACGATATCCTTTTAGGCCTTCCCTTTGCTCTTTTTGAGCCTTCCACTGGAACCAACTCGCACCTCTTAACAGGTGTTGTACTGGGTCTCCGCTGTATATGGCCAGCTCACCTGAGTCTACGTTCTCTCATCTTATCACCTATTGGAGCCACACCTAAGTTCTCTGGAATGAATTCATTTCAAATTCTATTCCTTCTTGTCTTGCTACTCACCCATCTCAACATCCTTATCTCAGCTGCACTCATCCTATGCATATGTTGTTCTTGACCACCCAACATTTTGTCCCATAAAGCAAAGCCAGTTTGACAACTGTCCTATAGATCTTCCCCTTCAGCTTCATTGGTATACGGTGATCATATACAACTCCAGTTGCACATCTCTACTTCATATACAACTCTAGTTGCACATCTCTACTTCGCTCGTTCAACTTTAATTCTATGTGCGACGAGTAGGAGAATCATGTAGGATAAAAAGATGGGCTAGAAGATGTAGGGTTTGGTATCTAGGCATGACGTAAATCAACTTGAGGTATAAGAAAATATAGTAGGTTTTAGTTGAATGATAGGTTGGATTTAAAGTTTGATTTGGATGGTTTGGTTCAATGTTGGAAAACTCTTTTAGTGTTCGAAAACTTAGCCGAGTGACTCGGCCTTGACTAGTTGCCAAGGACAGTTCCCCTGTATCCACTCGAGTATATGGGAATCTGTATAACACTCTAGCAAGTACTATGCAGACTTCCCCAAAGTACTATAGAGCTTTGGCAAACTACCCTAGTTCTAAAGTACTCGTGTATGTCCGTATAGTAGTTGACAAAGTACTATAAATGGAAAAACATGGGGGGCAACCCCCCTTTATTTCATTTCTCTCTCTCAAAATTGGGAGGCAGAAATCTGTTGGCTTGCGCTCCTTTTGCATCTCTCGTAGAAATCCATTCCCTTTTCATCTCTCTCTCTCTCTCTCTCTCTCTCTCAGCAGGGGCCAAAACTTTGTCCCCCTTCCCTTTTCATCACTCTCACCCTCTCCAAATGAGGTTTAGAAATCTGGCCCGCTTTTTCATTTCTCTCTAAAAGGGGCCAGAAATCCGCCCCCCTATTTTCATCTCTCTATAAAAGGGGGTGGAAATCTGCATCCCTTTTTTATCACATTCTCTTTGTCTCTCTAAAAGGGGGCTAGAAATTTGCCCCCCCTTTCAACACACTCTTTCTCTCTCTATAGGTATTTACTGATCTTTTTAAATTATTTTTAACAAATTTTTTGTTTGCTATTTCATCTTTTAGCCCTTTTTGGTTCATACACTACTCGGGCAAGTCCACTTGGACATGTCAAAGTTATGAGTCTTGAGTCAGAGACGAGTGTCAAAACCTCGATTTGGCCGGAAGGTAATAGGGTGTTGGGGTAGGTTTTGGTTATGTTTATGTTAGGTTGGGCAATAACGTTTAGAGTTTGTAGCTGAGGATTCCGTGGCAAGATTTGGGTTTAGTGTATGCTGGTGTGGCTGGTTTTTGTGGTTTGATTTGGCATGGAAATCAATAAGGGTTTAGGTTGTTCTTGACTTCTTGAGGGCGTGGCCATTGTGGTATTAGTTGAGGGCATGATGTGAAGATGGGGATGGATGTCATGTGGATGGAAGGATAAAGAATTTGGAATGGATGGGTCACATTTGGGGATAATGGCTGAGGAAAGATGGGATGGGCATGTTATAGAAGAAGAGAGAGAGAGAGAAATGACCCTAATCTAGTTGAAATCAGCACTTTTGACGATTTGAGTTGCAGTTTCTGTACAACAAGAAACTGTCGAGGAATCTGCACCTAAAGTGATGCATTAAACAACACCAATAGATTGGAGAAGCAGCATTTTGAAATGTTCAATTCTATGTTCCTCAGGCCCTTTCTTGTATTTATATATTTATAGTAGTTCTATACTCCCGATTTAACTTTTCTTGGACTTCATGCCTACTAATAGATTGGCAAATAGTAAATACTCCTCCTGTAGTGGTGAAACCCGTGTTCGCAAAATCGAACTAGAACGGTTAACAGGACATGGGCCCAGAAGCGGTTTAACCTAACCGATAAACTAGCCAATTCAACCGTTCTAACCAGGCAAGTCCCGAGTGGTAAAAAAAGTGTTGAAAAAAATACAAAAATATATAAAAAAAATCTACTAAAATATGAAGAGCATATAAAGAATGATTAAAACAAAATGCATTCAAATGAAGTTGAAAATTAATAATAAAAAAATGGATTTTAACGAATCGATTTGTACTTAAGGGTATTTTTAAAATTTTCTGAAAAAGATGGAAACATATAAAGTGAATATTAATGACCAAAATAATTTTTAATCTTTACCATAATGTAAAGAATACTAAAAAATACATTACAAATCAAATTCCTTACTTTTGGGAATTTATATACATTTGTTTTGAATTTTTTTATTTAAATACCGGTTGATCACCAAAACCGCCCAAAACCGAAACCGGCTAGTGGCCGGTTCCGATCTAACCGGGCGGTTAGTGGTTAGATCGCACGGTTTTACGAACACTGGGTGAAACATAACTATCATAATAGAATCTAGTCATTTGAGGAAGAAAAGCAAGCGTTAAAGAAAAATAAACCCCAACTCCTGTCCCTAGATGAGAACCCAATGAGAAATTGGAGGGCTTAATGTAATGGGACCCACATGGGTTGGTTGGTTCCCCTTGCAAGTTCTGCATTTACTGGATGCAGTGGGACCTCCCTTCTAAAATGCCCTGGTGAGGTGCACAACTCTCTCTCTTGGTCCATGGTATCAAGGGCTTTGATACGGACACCGTGAGGGACGAGAAATTTGCCACATTCAAGGTCATGCATGCTCATGTCAAGCTTGAGATCGCCTCCTTATATCACCATTTCATCAAGCTTGAGCACTTCTAGCACCCTCCTCTTGTTGGTTCCAAATAGTCTGAGGTGTTTTATCTCAAGATAAAGGGCTGTTGATTCTATTACCTTTGAGATCAAGACTCACGTACAAAAGGAAGAACATGCTAATAACATTGATGTTGCCTATAATGAAGCTATGGTAATCAATTAGTTTTTTTTTTAAAAAAAAGGCAAAACAAAGCTATGGTACCCAATAACCATTTTTCTTTTTTCTTTTGTCCAGTTAAGAAAATATAGAAGGTTTGATGATGATTTTTCTCTACTTTAAATATTGTTATGAATGAATAATTGTTAGTTACTTACTCTAATGTGCTCGGTCTTGTTTTGAACATTTACTATTTTCAAGTTCAAGATGTGGCATAACTGATTTGGACAACATTGCAAAAGAGGTACTCACAGCCTTGCTTATTTGGCATTGAATCTTCTGTAATAATTTTGCGCTGATATGCAATGTAGGTCTTGGTTTGAATGTGAATGCAGTTGTATTAGTAGACTAGGCTGCCCAAAGTTGATACCAGAGATAAGAAAAGCAAACATATCTTAGATGAATTTTTCTAAAATTTTAGCATTAGGACCCTGATTTGTAGGTCTCACCTCTTGTCTTTCTAATCCCTCTCTTTCTCTCCGGTTTTTTTTCTTTTAGAATGATTAATGACTAGAACATTTTTTGTGCTATTTTTGTTTATTAATGAGTGCGATAGGTTCCCCCTCAATAATAAATAGTCGGACTATTTATTATTCACAAGATTTATTAGTTTGGAGTGTACTAGACCATATATCAATGGCTTATAATTTAGGGAAAAGTTTATATAGAGCTGAGATTCCAACCCATCAAATTGGAGCTCACCTCAAAAATTTCACTAGAAGAGGCTGTTTTGATGTCCAAATATCCTCAAATTGATCATCTCGACATCAAGGTGCATGAACATGAGAAAAAAATGGATTTCAAGTTTTGAAAATGGTGTATTTTGTAACTCATTTTTGGACCGTCAAGATTTTCAAGTTTTCATAGATCTGTTGATCTACACTATTTTTTAAGCTTTAAATTTTATAAATAAAGATTAAAATATATTTTAAGGCTATCACAAAGATTTCCAATATTGAAACCACATTTCTCAACTCTATTTGAGGGTAGGCTCTAATTTGATTGTTTAGAGCCTAGGCTCTATACAAACCACACCCTATAATTTATACTACACCTAGGATCTACCATTTATTCTATAATTCAAAATGTTAGTTTCATCGGAAATAGTCGTTAGGTGCTCCATACGTCGTACACTTTAGGTGTTTAGTGTAGTCATCCAAATTTAGGTTGTATTCGGAGGAATACAATTTTAAAAGATGATCGACGTAAATTGTTTGAAGTTTGAAATTACAATATGTGATAAATAATTTCGTTCATTATTTACCAAAAGTAGTCCCACTTGTCAATAAACAAAAATAGCACCAATTCATCATTTGGTGACATAAATAATTGTCCCATTTGTTAGTGATGAGTGGCAACTTGTTCCACTACTTAAAACACACGAAATAACACCCAAATGTCCTTGTTAATAGCCCTGAAAAGAAGGGGATGATAGCAAGTAGACGTGAGAATTTATAGCAGGGCTCATTGCTTATAATTTAGAATATATCGTCTTAGATTGGCTTGCTTTCCTTGTATTCAACAAATGCAATCTGAGTTGCTTTTCTTCTATACAACAAATGCAATCTGAGTTCTACTCTGTTCACAGAGTACCTCTGCATCCGAGACCAAGAATGCCATTACATATCAACCACAAATAGGACCAAGAATTCCACGTTAAAATGGAAAGGTTAGGTGTATCTTTTTGCTGAATTGTAAGTGCCAATTTGGTCATCCGGATTTTGAATGTGAAGATGGCAATGTTTTGAGGAAGGCTAAACTTGGTTAGTAATTAGGAGCAAACTCTTAATAAGTGCCTACCCCACCTTCTTCTGAAATCCTCCAACACCCATCTTAAGAGAGTTTCGGCGAATCAAAGGGTTTTTACGGCAAGATGAAGGAAGATTTCTATCACCACCTTTTTTAGGTTAAAACTAACAAATGAACGACTAAAAAGGGCAAGGGTGGTAGGCCCAAAAGGATGTGGTTGGAAGTAGTCCGAAAAGATATGGGGACTAATGACTTGACTGAGGATAGAGTAGAATGGAGAACCATGATTCATGTAGCCGACCCCAATTAATTGGGAAAAGGCTAAAATGATGATGATGATGATATCTTAAATTATGAATTTTCTTTTGAATTTCATTTCCTTTTAGTTTTCTGACTAAACAAGTTCTCCAAATTACAGTTTACCAACTTAGTGTTTTTCTCACGAGTGACTTGTTGTTTCCAACAATCTAAGGCTCATGAATTATAAATGTGATCAAGTTTGAGAAACAAGTTACATTTTTGATGTACTTCCCTTCTCCCCTCTACTGAAATTTCACAATATGTAATTTTACCATCCATTGTGATTAGATTTATCTTTATATGCATTTTTGCACCACGAGATTCAGTATGAACTGCTTCCTTATTGTGGGTACATGATTTATCTGAGTTTCTATTGGTTGACTACACTTGCAAACAAAAAGAATAACATAATATAACAGTTTCTCTATAGATTTCCACGAAATTTACATTCTGTGAACCTTATCTTTTTTATAATACTTGTTTGCTTTTCACACTGTAGATTTCTCTTTCCGGCTCTGGGTGGCTTCCTATTTGGATATGACATTGGTGCCACTTCAGGGGCTTCTATTTCGTTGCAGGTAATTTTCTCCATTTTGTGAGTATATAGAAACGAATTATCTTGACTTGGACTACAATGTAGACAAAATACAAGCCAATACAACTTGAAAATTTTCAATATATTTGAAATTACTACTTGCAAAATCAAATTACAGCAAGATCACTGTGACTACAGTGAGCTATTGACTTCTAAATACACTCAAATGAGAGGATACAACTGAATTAGGGTCCTTTCCACATGAACAAAACAAGCCACAAAAGGAAATCATCAAACTATACATTTATAATGTGTATTTGAAAATTCAGCATTGCTCAAACTTACAAGACAAAATTATACATCAATGAACTCATAAAATCTCATCACAACATCATCTCCCTTACATCAACATACATTTGCTCAAGTGTGCAATGCAACATGATCATGGGAAGCCATTTGAGCTCTCAGGTGCCCGGTTTATGACCTTGAGTCTTAGCTATATACCATTGGTGACATGTGATGGCATGACTTGTGATGACATACCACAAAATCGGGTCAATTCATCACCTAACAAATGGGAAGCCAAGCATCTATTGATACACACTTAAAACATAGAAGGATTTGCAAAGATTGAAATATTAAAAAATTGTGAGAGAAAACCAGGCTTGTAAAACACAAAACCGGTTCAATTGAGTTTACAATTCGGCTCTCAAAATTTCGGCGTAGTCTTCTCTTATAAAATCAACAATACAAGGGATAAAAAAGAAGATCTAAGTGATTGATATGATCATAAAAAACTCAGAGAAATATCAGCCATAGTTACTCCAAACTTCAAGGAGAGATTTCTGTGTAGCATAGGCTACACATACACTGTAAATTGTTTATAAGGGTTTTTTTTTTGCAATTTCTAATAGTGTAGGGGCTTTTTTTGCAAGGTCAAACTATTGGTAGGTGACAGCAAAAAGCCCTCTTCAACTTGTGCTTTTATGTTTATGTGAAGCAAAGCACTCTCGAACTTTCGCAACAGTAAAACCCCTCGTTTTAGAAGCAATATGTCAAAATGTCCATGGATGAGGCCTTTAACTATATGGATCAAGAGATATCAATGAAGGCTCAAAGGATCAAAGATCCAATCATCAAAGGATGAAAAGATGTTGCGGTAATTGAGAATTTACAGCAAAGATAAACTAAATGGATCAATGAAAATATAAATGATCTTACTCAATTGTTGAAGGCTTGAAGACTAGATCATCCATAACTTAAAATTTGAGTTTTGGATCGCCATTAATGGAGTAGTATAAGACCTTCAATAGACTTCTTCTCTCACCTTAATATGAAAGAGGATTTTAGAGAAAGGAACAAGAGACTCTCTTTGGGCATGCTAGCCAAATGGGAGAGATAAAGACAAGTTCGTGCCACTTTTGGAGAGAGTAAGGGTGAACTGAACTCATATGAGAAATGATAAGCTTCTAACCCTTTAAGTGTGAAGATGTTTCTAGATGGATGAATCTTGACCCATCATGTCATCTACTAATAGCTACAAAGAGAGGCTCGAACCATCTACCATCATGCCATCAAGATGTGTGGTATGAATTTAAACACCTTTATCCTCCTTTAATTCACTCCAATTTCCCTTGTTATTAAAATATCCATACACTTTATATTTAATAAAACTAAAACCAAGATGGAGGGTATACCCTCATGATAACTTGTTAAATATTCCAGCGAAAAGCAAGTCTCAAAAGTTCCCTCAATGTTATAAGAGCATGGCTAATGAATTCATGCCACATAAGCTAGGTGATTAATTGCATATTTACCATATACCCTTAGAGTTAGACTTGTAATTACAAGTCCTATACCCCTTCTAGAATCCGCTACCCATATGCACAAACCCCTTGCATATTAAACATGTGCCAAAATAATTTTTTCAAAAACTCAATATTTGACAAAAGAGCATAATTCATTATCATTAAATTAAAACAACAAACTGCATAAAGACATGGGAGTCCTTGAAGGGTTGATGTCGCCCCCATGTCATCCTCCACTTGGGGGGGACGTGAGACCCCCCAAGCCAACATGTGGACACCCATCGGCCATTTGGGTGTCCCGTGTGGGTCCTGGGGACTGTCCTTTTTTTGTCATTACGTTCTAACAATTTTGGAAATCGGATTTTCTTGCCCAGAAAATCCAGAAATATTCTAAAAAATCCATAAAAATCATTTTAATGATTTTCCATCAAACTAAATAATTTTTGCATTATTTAAAAACATTTACAAGGGAAATTAGGATCTTTGGAGTTTAAATTACGAAACAAAGCACTTTACTATGCTAGACCCGAAATCCAAAGCCACCTTCTTGGTATGACCCAACAGACTCATGACCCACAAATAATAATCAGGTGCGCATGATCTCAACCTATCAAATTCAAACCAATGTGTGAGTTTGAATCCTCAAGTATAAGTGGATTTCAGGTGCACCTCCTAGAGGACATCCACACACATGGTGCAGGGGTTCCTCTCTTGGCACATGTGCATAGCTCTAACTAGTAGATCCTCGGAAGAGTGGCTTCCCATGCACTGTGATTGTACATGCACATGCTACGAGAAGATTATAAGAGTTAGGGATTTAGGTCAATGTCTATTGGCTCTAATCTTCCCTTACAGGGATTTTTTTGTCATCGAGCTCATACATAAATCGTATCGTCCTGGCCCATTACTCAGTCATGAGGCACAAATATAACAACCGACCCTGACTAAGAGGTAACCCTCAACCGTCTCAGTAGCTCCCATGCATATAAATCCTCTTCATGACTTAATCGGGGTTCTATGACTCTTGGTCCCTGTGTGCCAAGATCCTAGAGTCATGCCGCTCTTTTACTCCCATTAAGGTAAGAGCCATTGAAAATGTTGGAATTTAAGGCCTTGAAAGGACATAATTCCAACACGTTTTCCTATTGCACTTAGGTGCCTTCCGGCTTGCACTCCAAAAGTTACATTTGTTTATGATCTTTTCCGTCATAAAGTAGTGCCTAAACTTTTCCTGGAGGTGGCATGTGTTACACTTAATATTGACATTCATGGAAAATTGATTCGCATTGTACTTGAGCATAATAATGACTGATAATGCCTTATATGCAATTGACCTATAAATTACTAAATTTCCCTTGTTATATAACAAATACTACAATTGTATGCTTCTATTACAAAGTGAGCTTTAGATGCATGAACGCATGATACTACAAAAATGCGCTTCTCCTAATGGAGTGGAGAAGCTAAGAATAGCAATATTGTGCACGAGAACTCTCACACCCATTGTGATGCTCATGGCACGGGTGTCAACGAGCTTAGCCGAAACAAGCATGGGCATGTTCAAGCTTGGCTTGACTGGAGAAGCTAAGAACACCAATATCGTGCACGAGAACTCTCACATCCATTGAGACGCTCATGGCAGGGGTGTCAACGAGCTTAGTCGAAACAAGCATGGGCATGTTCAAGCTTGGTTTGAATGGGTGGAGGACCAGCATGACTTGAGCTTGAATCACCAAACTTGAGCTTGGCTTGATTCAGGAAGGAAGCTTGAGCTTGACTTGGCTTGATTTGTTTACCATGGCTTGGCTCGAATTGTACAAGCCCATTAGTGAGCCGAGCCAAGCCATAAACGTGACCACAAGATCATAAATTAGGCAATATACAATATGATATATGCATTATGTAATTAGTGTCTTAAGGGAAGTCTCCTCATTGAGATGGGGTTAATATGGTGGAATATATGATTCTGTACTTTTAATTATTGTATTTATCATATTTAAACAAGATTAAGCCAAATTTGTCTGCGCTTGTGCTTGGATCGTTTAAGACACGAGCCCACTGGTTTGGCTTGACTTGGCTTGGCTGTTGAGCTGCAAAATGATATTTCTCAATCTTGTCACAGTGCAAGCTGACCCAGCTCCCAAGCTGACTTGACCTGTGGAGACCCCTAGCACATGGAATGTCTCACATGTGTTAGATACTGTTGAGTTGATAACTTGTAATAATAAGGTGTTCCCCTAGCATCAATAGGCCTTATCTTTTAGTGGAATTTTATGGTCTATGCTTCCATGGTACCATCAGCTAACCTTGTAAATGCCTCTGTCACCAAGTGAAAATTTGAATTGTACCGGCTACTGAATGATCTAAATTAACACTAGAATAACTCAGGGTGCATGCATATGAGGTTTGCTATCTTCCTCCTCCCTAATGTTGGGCTTAAAGAAGATGGTCCACATCTCTCAACGCAATTGCCATTACTTATGCAGCACCAGAACATTTCCAGCTAGGGACATTTTCCATCATTTTTTGAGGGTAATGGTGAAATAATTGTGTTAAATTAAGGATTGTAATTTGGCCATTAAATGGCATGGCACATTGTTATATAAGACATCCTTAGATGCTAAATGTTGACCTTACTTTATAACCTATTCTTGTTGGTCCTTTGCTATGAAAAAAATTCCACTATCTAATTTCTAAAATTTGTCGTACAATACATGGGTAAAGGTGTTTCTTATCAAAGAATACAGGGTATCATTATTTCTTCATGGTTTCTGGATATTCACATCAGTTGTATAATATAATAAGTGACTTGATTTTTGTTCCAGTCTGCTGAATTGAGTGGCACAACATGGTACAACCTTTCGGCAATACAGACAGGTCTTGTGGTATGGCTTCAGTATCCTCATTGTGTTTCTGCTGAGTGGAATAGTTGTCTGTAAAGTATGGTTATATACCCTGAATTTTCCTTCCTAAGCTGGTTTATGGTTCTTATGGGATACCTTGCACTTTGTTTGCAGGTCAGTGGTTCATTATATGGTGCTCTTTTCGGGTCACTCATAGTATATCCTATTGCAGATTTTCTCGGTATCACTTGCCTTGCCCATGAATTCTTCCTGATTCCATTTTCTTTGCTCTGAAACTTATTTTCACACTTAAGTAGAAACTTGCTTGTTAATATTCTATTTATATCTGATCATCTGATACTCTCAAAGAAACCTAGAATTTGACATTGTTTAAATTTCTTGTTGAAGGAAGGAGAAGAGAATTGATTGTAGCGGCCTCACTGTATGTTCTTGGGGGTTTAATCACTGGATTAGCTCCAGACCTCGCAGTTCTAATTATAGGGCGACTTATTTATGGTCTTGGTATTGGCATGGTGAGTTGTCTTGGAATACTTGATTCTCTTACGAATTGCATCTTGTTGGTCCTAGGGATAGCCTTACTAGGAGAGTTCATACTAAAACTACACAGTTTTGTGATGCTGGCTTGAATACGAGACTGGCTTTCTTGACAGCTATCTTTCTTTATTTGTGTTGAATCCTTTTGAGATGGAAGAAGCTACAGTTTCCTGATCCATAATTGCTTCACACAATTGTTTGAACTTAACACTTTTATTCTATGCCACCAGATGAGATGTCTAATAGGTGTATGTATCTTTGGTATTTAATGCTATGGTATCACTGATTTAGTGGATCCTTACCTTGTGAGGTTAATTGATCTTTAATCATTTATTTGGCATTGTAACGAGCATGTGTCATTTTAATTAACTACTATTTTATACTTTTTCTGGACAATTTACTTCACTCTTATGTGTGTGCACAAAACTTAGCAATTGAGGTTTAGTAGACCATGACAAGGTCTAAAAGTTCAATTTGAGTACAAAGTTGGACTTTGGAAGAATGACTTCATCTGGGTGGGTCAAAATAATACGTTGTGAAAAAGTTGGTGAATTTTCAAAATTTTCTGAAAAAGTCTCACAAAATAGGAAACTTCATAAAAGAATATTAAAATATATTTCATTGTATGCCACATTAAGTGCGTCCTGGTTTTGAAGTTGCTCATCCCCCAAAAGAATTAGGTCGGGCAACTTAAGTCAAGTCAGACTTAGTAAAGCATTGAGGTGAAATACTGAAACTTATGGATTTATGTCAGATACCCGTCTTGAAATAAATTCTTCCCCGGGGTTTTCTGTTATTACATCGGTCATGGGGAGTTCTTAAACTGACTTGTTATAGTATTGTATGTGCAGGCTATGCATGGAGCTCCTCTCTATATTGCAGAGACTTCTCCATCTCAAATTCGTGGGACATTAATATCTCTAAAGGAGCTGTTCATAGTTTTAGGGATACTGGTATATGGCAAAATACAGAAATTACATTTTTTGTCTCTCACTTATTGTTGCTGTATTATATGGTGCATTCTTTTGGAACTTTTCTTATGTGTTTTTCACTATGAACATATTTTCTGCAGTTGGGTTACCTTGTGGGAAGTGTTGAGATCAATGTTGTTGGAGGTTGGCGTTATATGTATGGCTTAAGTGCATCAATAGGAATTGTGATGGCTATTGGTATGTGGATTTTGCCACCATCACCTCGATGGTTACTTCTTAGAGCAGTCCAGGGAAAGGCCAACCTAGGTGAATATAAAGAAAAAGCAATCTCTGCGCTAAGCAGGTTAAGAGGACGTCCTGCCGGAGATAAAGCATCTGAAGGTCAAATAGAGGACACTTTCGACTCCCTGAAATCAGTTTATGATGGTCAAGAACAGGAAGGCAGTATATGGGAGGTATTTGAAGGAGCTAGTTTAAAGGCCTTCATAATTGGTGGGGGATTGGTTTTTTTTCAGCAGGTAAAGTTCCTGCTTGTTAAACATTCTAATTTTTCACAATCAAACTTGTTTCTTATTGGCCCCTAATCATGTGGTTACGTGGAATTTGACTATCTTGATAGATAACTGGGCAACCAAGTGTGTTGTATTATGCCGCTACAATCCTCCAGGTACTCTGTTTCTGTATGGAATGTTTCAGCCTACCTTAATAGAAGTTATATTTTTTCTTTTGAATAAATGCACCTCCTTATTAAAGTATTAGTCATAAGTTCGTATATGGGAAATTATAATGTAATAGTAGAAAAACCAATGGTCAACATTTAACTTTTGTCATCACTGTACGGTGATGGAAGAGATTTGGAACCATGTTGTAGGTCCTCTTTTCAAACATTCAAACACGGCATGCCCCTAGTTGTAGGTCCTCTTTTCTAATTTTTCTTGTCTCCTAATTTTAATGGGCAGTTGTGTTATGTAAT